CTGAATGTTCTTTGCATAATAAAACAAAAGAAGAAACCCAGATTAATTATATAAACCAGCTTGTTGGACAAATGCATCGCATTAAATTGCCACTTTACTGAATGACAATCATTATAGCTGGAAAAATCCAATAAAATAATATGTGTGGCTATTGGTACAATGACCATTTTCCCTTTTATACCATTAATCTCACTTCAAACACTTAAGTGATTACTACAGTCAAGGTGCCATGCCATGGGCTATGAAGAATAAAAAGAGGCTTTAAAACACATTGTCCTTAAGGAATTTTTCATGTAGTTGTCAAGAAAAGGCTACTTTATATACCATTTGAAGCTATGAGAATTACAGAATTTTGAAGAAGAAAGAACTAACTAGCAGCTAGAGTTGTCAGGGAGATGAAAGGATTGATAGCATTTTGATGGGGCAAAGGGGGCTGGACATTTCAGAGGCCAAGGCCAAAGGGGCACAGAGCAATTTTAGCATGAGGTAATGCTTTAATGTTAGAATAAGGGTTTTCTTCCTGTAGTCATAGGAGATAAGGCCAGAATGACAGGTTGAGGTCATATTATGAAAGCTTTGAACACAGGCTATGGAGTTTGTACCTGATTCTGTAAGCGCAAGAGTTTTGTGGAAAGCTTTGGAGCAAGAAAGTGGTATGATCAAAGCACGAGTTTAATAAGATAATTCGTGGAATGATGCACAAATCGTCTTGAAGGGAGCAGAGCCTAAAGGCAGAATGCTCAGGTAAGAGACCATGGCATTAGTCCAGGGGGGAGTTAGTAAGGACCAGAATCAGGTGTGAGTTAAGAATGTGCCTTTTCTGAAACAATAAAGGATTTAACACATTGCTATAAATATATAATAAAAAATCCAAAGCTAAATGTGCTGATAATATTCATCGCTGAAGAGCAAACATAGTAGACTGACTACGAAAGTGCTCTATAAAAGACAACTAACTATATGAATTCTTTATCTGCATGTTGTTATTATGAGTATAACTCAGTTTTACTTATGTTCCCTGTGTAATTTTCCAATTAAGACATTTCGTTGAGAGCTTAGTCCTAGGAAAATGTGGTGTACTTTTGAGGAACAGTATGTTTTCTTATTTTTCTTAATAAGAGCTAAGAAGCACAGGGGATTGTCCCTGAATAGTTCGGGTTCCGAACCAGGCTTTCAACACTGCAGCTGTGTTGACTTTAGACTATAATCTCTGTTTTCCACTTTGTTAACTCTCGTCCTCTCTTACTCTTCACTGATGTCACTGCCGTGGTTCCTCCTCTCCCCTTGGTAGCAACACCAAATAATTTTCCAAGGAGACACAGGATAAGTACACTTATATGTAGTACCAGGAGCTCTCCCTCCTCTTTTCCACCTGTTTTTCCCTGAGCTCCAACATGGCACTTCTACATCTTGCTTGTATTTTGCCCAGCTCTAAACAGATGTCTCCAGCTAAGCATCTCTCTTTTTTTAAAAATCTTTTTTTCTTTATTGATTTGAGAGAGAGAGGAAGGGAGAGGAAGAAAGAGATAGAAACATCGATGAGAGAGAACATCCATTGGCTGCCTCCTACATACCCACCACTGGGGATCGGGCCCACAACCTGGGCATGCGCCCTGACTGGGAGTCAAACCAGTGACCTCTTGGTGTATGGGTTTATATGCTCAACCACTGAGCCACACCAGCCGGGCCAGCTAGCATCTCTCTTGTGTCCAACCTTCTACCTATTCAAATGTGATCTTTGAACTAACAACAGCACCATCACCTGGCAACTTGGCAGAATTTCCTGGGCCTCATCCCAGGGTCCTGCACCAGAAGCCCACCCTAGAGGTGGGGCCAGGAAATTTGTGTTTTTCCAAGCCTTCCGGGTGGTTCGGATGACTGTGGATGTTTGACAATGGCTGCTTTAGAGAATGACTGTACTCTGGTCTTTCTCTCTCAGTCTATGTGTTCTCTAGCTCATGGTGTCTCTCATCTACTCAGTTTGCTCTGTTGTCCAGGCAAATCCTTTCTATACTTTTTATAATAATTATAAATTCTTAAAGGAGCCTGTCTGATTAGTGTAGTTAATTATTACCCCACCACAGTCAGTAAAGCTCTTATGGTACCCTACCTCATGGTCACAGGCTGGTCCATGCTTGAGCCACTCTTGGCATACAAGACAACCCTGGGACCTGTCAAGGGCCAGTGCAATTAAAAACAGACCAACACTGGTTTCCTGAGAAGAGTGCAGCAGGTGAGCCAGTAGGAGGCCTGCCCCTGTCCAACACTTGAGTCTTTGATTGAGTGGCTGTGTGCGGTTTTACTCCCACAGAGGAGTAATCATAATTTTCTTAGTGGGATAACCTAGATTTCAGCATCTTTTAAGAAAGACAAAAGGCGACAATTATTGCTGGAAACAGTCAGAGGCAAGGTAGTCCACCTGTTCTGATGTTTGAAGATGGTTCAAGTCGGGGTTAAGATAACAGACCCTATTATCAGCGACATGGACGGGGACCCACTTTATGTTATTCCAGCTGTATTCTCCAAGGAAATGTATTGTTGGATGTTTGCATTTGTGTGTAAAAATACTAGTCCCTGTCCTCTTTTTAAAATTAAGAAGCACTTTATAAGTTCAAATTTTTGACAACCTCAAAATTGGTTTAAACATCTTGAGTTGCTTTGTTGAGGATAAGAATTAGCAGGGAAGGAATGACTTTCAGTGGGAATCTCATTGAGGCAGAAAATAGATTGGGGGGGTGGTTTCAGAAAATAGATTGGTGGCAAATAAACAGACACATATTCTGATAAAATAGGTGTGCTTTTCTATGATTGTTCAATCATCCTTTAAAAGATGTTGGTAATCCATGCAGTTAATAACATCGTCCAAGACAGTCTTGTTCTACAGTTGATTTGGAAAAAAAACCCAAAACAACAACAAAAAACCCAGAACAAATATTTATTAGCCATTCATGTAGCACTCAGTTTCCACGAGGAGCTTCTGACTGACTAGAAGAGTCAAGGTTAATGTATCTGAAGCAATACCGAAAACACCAGATAATGACGATTAAGTGCTAAATTACATTATCCCCGACGTGCTTCTCTTTGTACATTCTTGGCAATCTCATCTCTCATGATTTTATCTAATAACTATGTAGGTCAGTGTTTCTCAGTCTTGAGCAATGTAGAAATAGGCTGCTGAAAAATTTTCTTACGTTCCCTCAGTGTGGAATGAAAGAATTTTTATTATTATTTTACAAAAAACATGTATCCATCTAAAAATAGGCACACACCACTTAACCTTATGATTCTTGAACATCTATAAACACAAATCTATAAATTAAATACAGAAAATCTACCTAGCCAATAGGATTTAAACTAATTTAGGGGCATGGATAATGTTTTATTGAAGCAAAATCACCACTCTGAGCCTGAGCATGGTTCTGCCTGCTTAGGTGGAGCTTCCTCTGCTTTCAAAAGGCCTTTCTTACTATTCAGGGCACACGATGACTCAGCTCTCACCACTTCTTTACTACAACTGTTGTGAAACTATCCTTTATATACTTCCTGTGCTTTTTTTTTTTTTTTTTGCCTGTGACTTGTGTATGTGTGGTTAACTCTGCTTGTGATACAGTCTCATGGTTTGGCAACAATATAATACTATGGATTGTCAACTTGATCGAAATACAAATGAAAGGGTGAGAAATAAAATCTTGGGCAATACTTGATATAAGGTAGTGACCCAGATGGTCCCAAATTGTTTTTTACTTTTAAAACATTGTCTTAGAATAGCACTGAGTGGGTACTGGAAATATCAAGGGAACACTTTGTAAAGTATATGAGTGTCGCCCTGGCTGATTTGGCTCTGCAGTTAGAAGGTTGGCCCTCAGACCAAAGAGTCTTGGGTTCGATTCCAGTCAAGGGTACGTACCTCAGTTGTGGTTTGGTTCCTGGCCCTGATCAGGGTTGTGCAGGAGGCAATCAATTGATGTTTCTCTCTCTCTCTCTCCCTCCCACTCTAACTGAAAATAAATGGAAAAATATCCTTGGGTGAGGATTAAAAAAAAAAAAGTATATGAGTGTATAACTACTGTGCTGTATACCAGAAACTAATACAAAATAATATTAATTTAAATTATAATTGGAAAAATAAATAAAAGATAATCATAGATATAAAGACATGAAATCTACATTAAGACATATAAAAAATTCTGCCCTAGCCAGTGTGGTTTAGTTGGTTGGAGTGTCGTCTCGTGCACTGAAGGGTCGGTCACCAGTTCGATTCCTGGTCAGGACACATACCCAGGTTGCAGTTTCATTCCCCAGCTGAGGCACATTCCCCAGTTGAGACAGCCAATCAATGTTTCTCTCACTCTCCCTCTTCCTTCCTCTCTCTCTAAAATCAATAAAAACATATCCTTGGGTGAAGATTTAAATTAAAAAAAAAGAGAGATAAGAAATCCTAATTGAAACTGAGGGCAGGTTGGTGGACACAGCTGTGCCTCCCAGATCTCCTACAAGGAAGCATGGGCTGCCCCAGCTAACAGCAGACAGCCTCCAGCTCGCAGTTCCTTCAGGCTTTGCGTGGCTGCAGAGAGCTGCCCAGCCCAAGGACATGTCCTTCCACTGGGCCCCCCTCCAAGGACTGACGCAGGCCGTGGTACTAAAACCCGGCTACTTCTCCTGACCAGGGACAGCTCACATGGGCGAGTATGCTCCAGACGCCCTGTGGACTTGGCTGAGGCTTTGTCGGCCTGCACTGCTGTTCCATGTTGCCCTCCCAACACTGCTGCCTTACTCCCTCCCATTAGCTATGACTCCTAATAAATACCCTGCATGCCAACCCCCATCTCAGTGTCTGCTTCGGGAGAATCCAGGCAACAAAAGCTCCCAAGAATTTCTCTGAAGAACTCCCCCGTCCCCTCCCCTGCACCCAGAGAGAGCGGGAATGACTCTTCTGTAGCTCTGGTTGTTCTTACAAGCTTCTTGTCTGGAAGTTCAGCTTCCACTTGTATATTCCTGCCAGCACTTCAAATTCAACAGGCCCAAAGCTGATGCAAGATGATCTCTTGGGTCCTACCTCAGAACACCTTGTGGGTTTTTTCCCTCCTGTTTTCTACTTTATTTAATGGCTCTACCTAGTATTCTCACAGGATCAAAAGTTGGGAGGTATATTGATTCCTCACACACCTGGCTCTGTACATAGTTTATTATTCATGCTCTTAACATGGCAAGGACCTTACTCATTCCTCCAGAGATTCACGTCCCTCTAAACAAGGGATGCTGTTGGAATCACAATGCAGAGCTTTACTTTGCTTTCGGAATATTTACTCTTTTTTACAGTTTCCCTTCTCTCCCCTTCAATTCCATAGACTTTGAAAGACAAAAATTGTTGTTGTTGTTTTGTCTCATAAAGGATATATACAAAATTTCAACCCACAATCATCTACTTATTTACAAGCAGAATATATTGGCTCATATATTAAATTAAAAAATAACGCTCTGAAAGATGACAGCAAATGTCAGTCTTCACTTTCCTCCTGCAACTAAGATTACAAAACATTTGTTCTCTGTTTAAGATAAAATGAATTTGATTTTCTTTTCCTCTTTATCTTCTATATTGAGCTAAAGAATAAAGAAAGCCAAGTCTTAATAAATGCCAAGGTAATACTTTTATAATATAGCCACTAAAACATGTGTGAATGTGATTATGTGGTTTAGAAGTCTGTGAAAATGTACATACTTTTTAAAGCCATCAACTCATTGAAAGATGCTGATGTTTAGAATCGAAAGTTGAGTTGTCAGTTGAAAGTGAGAAACTGAAATGTTCGTGAGAGACACATTGTCAGGGAAGCAGTAGAACATTTCCCGCCCATGTGTGCAGTCCTGAGGGTTATTCACGGCCAGGACAAACCCAATGACCATCACCAGAGCACCGATGGGAAGCATGATACAGGACATGACCTTATCGGAGAGTGTCCTGGGTTCTTCAGACAGCTTCAGATAACATGCTGATGGAATGATAAAAATTAGGGGAGCTGCACAGATCACACCCTGCATATTAAAAATGAGAAACAAGATAATGTTATCAGATGGAATGTTGCTTGGACAGTTTTTAAGAACATTTACAAAATGTATTTGTCACTGCACATGTTAAAAGTTCTATAGGTTTGATTAACTCAAACAAAGGAAAGAAAAAAGTTTCAAGAAAAATTTAGAAATAGTTTTTTTTTTTTTCTTTTTTGATGGCATATTTACAAATGAGAAGAGTGAAATAAGAGTAAAATAAAACATAATAGAGTAAACTAATTTGGTAAAAAAAAAATAATAGACTAGAAAAAATAATCAGAAAATAAAAATGATGGTAAGACTGACTTCTGGCAAACTCTTGAAATTTTCCATATTTTCAGTTATATCATGCTACCCTATATAAATTACTGTGTATCTACTCTGCCCTTCAAATCTGAGAAGTCTATTTATCACTGTGTACAAAAGGGAACTATCAGTAGGTAAATAGGGCGTATTGTCTTTCCTTTTTATTTGAGTTTGTATAAATGTAGGTGCCTGTCTGCTTGAGAAAGAATAACTATAACCCTAAGGGCACTCACACGAAATCAAATTTCTAAATCATCTTTCAAGTAAAACTAAACACATTAATTACCCTAGAAAATTGACAGCAGAACTAAATGTGACTCATTCACCCTCCCCTACACTAGTCCATGGATAAGTCCAACCTGGGGGAAAATGTCAGATTGAAAAATCTGAGTAGTGTTGTCTATCATAAAAATACCAAGAGCTTTTTTTTTACTTCAAAGGAAAATACACTTTCCCCTGGAGGAGGCCAAATTTGCACTAGAGACAGACTCATAGATAGAGATCAGGCAGACAACTCTGGAGATGTGGGGGAGGGAGTGGAGGTGGGGGGAGGCATTGAAAGCAAAAAAAGTAAAAAGAGAGAGAGAGAGAACTCATGAACGTGGACAACAACGTGGTGATTTCGGGGTGGAGTGGGTTGGAAGTGGAAGAGAGCATATAGAGGGGATAAATGGTGATGGAAAATATAAAGTAAAACAAAATAAAGTAAATAATGCTACCATTTAAGGCATTTTAGGCAATAGATTTTTCTAATTATATTAAATGTTAATTGTATTATACATTACACAAAATATAACACATATAAATAAAATATAACTGTATGACAAACAATATTCTCTTAAGTCATAAAACACATTTTTAAAAAAATAACATACACTCAACAGCAAATGTGACATTGGTTTAGAATTAAAAGCAAGCTTTCCATAAAATATGTTTTACTATATTTGAAAAAGTTATTATGAAACTTGTAAATATAAAGAAACATAGAAAGAAGGGTATAACAAAACCCTATACACCTATAACCTATGGTTTGAAACCCTTCTGACACATTTGGGTAATTTCAAAATTTGAAATTTTTTTTCAAAAAGATTTGAAAGCTTTTTGACATAACTGGTAAATTGGTAAAATCATAGAAAACCGAATTTGAAGTTGGGTGATTTAAAAAATATTTTATACCTTAAAAATAGTTTTAAAAAATATTTTCAACTTATATGCATGTATGCGTAACCAATGAACATAGACAACAATGCTTGGGGGTGGGATAGGGAGGTGGGTGTCTGGGGAAAAAAATGAGAAACATCTGTAACCAAAATAAATTAATAAATAAAAATTAAATTAAAATTAAAAGGAGAAAATATTTTCTTGACATCACCATTTACTGAAATTACTGGGTTTTATAAGTACCATCCTAAAAAGTATTACAATATGATTCCCAAAATATATTTAATTTTTTTACAGAGAAATGGCAATTAAGAGGGACATGTTATAAAATCAGACTAGCCAGGCAGTATTTAAAAAGCTGGGTAAGATGGGACTGACCACAATTCACGGAAAATAATTCTATAGTCAGAGATATAAGCATGAGAAACTACTAAGAGGCGTGAAATTGTATTCTAATTTAAAATATATGGACAATATAATTTTACCATTCATAGCACTTAAATACAAATGAATACCTACAAAGGAACACAATGTATAAAGGGTAAGTTTTCACATGGCTAGAATTACATGAATTATGGATTCCTTGGGCTGTATTGTGACAGTTGAAACTGACATTGTTTTTTAAATTATGGAAAATTGTGGATGATGCAGTCTGTGTTTATAATAATTACTATTTAATGTCTTAGAAATAATTTTTGAAACCAGTTAAAAGGTAGTTAAAACACAAATATATACATGTACATATGTATGTACGAAGAAAGTCTTTTCTCTTTGTAGGAACAAACTATAGTCACGAGGAACTGCGGGGCGTGAAAGTGCTCTCAGGGTGCACGCCGCCGCCAGCTGCTGCTGGGAAGCTGTCATCAGTTAGCATTTGGGGACTGTTCCAACCCTCTCTTGCTGGGCAGTGCAAAGCAATGGGTGTTCTGTTTATTATAATTTTTAAGAGTTGAGAAAGTAGCAATTAGTGGGAAGGCTAAAGAGCTGATGTTTGTACTGGAAGAAGTCCAGTTGGGTATCTTGTCTAGATAGCAGTTACGTTCTTAATATTTGAAATCTCAGTCTTGCTAGAGGTTGTGGTTAGGACCCCAGATCAAGTGTAAAACAATAACGTAGTTCCTTCTGCTGTACTCCTCATAAAGAAATCCAGCTTATTTGATCTATTTAAAATAGCCGTGCTAGAGAACACACCACTGGCTTTGGACTAATTTTTGAAATTGCTTGGGGAGACATAAATACCACAAGTATTTTTTAAAGAGACAATACAATATAGCCTTAATTATAACAGCAGGACAGCATTCTCCTTCGATAATAACCCTACTGATGCCAGGGCATTTTGCAGTCTGCTATTGGGAAATAATAGAAGGTGTTAAAGATTTTTTACTGGCAATATGGATTGGAAAAGTATCTGGATTCTCCTACCTGAATAGAAACCTCTCAAATGGTGCAAAGAAGCTAAAAACTAAATTAAAGAATGCGTGTGTCTTTTAAATTTTGACTTTGTAATCAATCTGGAGTCATGAAATGTATTCCTATACCTTAAAAAGAAACCAGCTCGGGAGGGCTTTGGCAGCTTGGACCGTGGCTTGCTCACCCTGACAGCTGTATCTCTGCATCTGGGCTCTCACTGGGTAACTGGCTTACTTTTTTCCTTCCACTGTGAGCTGCACACAAAGCTTGTGCTGGTTACTCTGGCCACAGGCACCAGCTGCTTCATCTTTTCTCTTTGTACTGCTGCAAGTGGAAACCCATAGGGCCCAATTAACCTGGCTGCCTTTTCTCTCTGATAGCAACATGGATGTGAGATGCTACCAAGAATGGGACTTATATTTATTTTATTGGATTCTAAAATGAATCCTTTAAAATAGAGGGTGCAGCCTGGCTGGTGTGGCTCATTGGTTGAGCATTGACACATGCACCAGGGGGTTGCTGGTTCGATTCCTGGTCAGGGCACATGCACAGGTTGTGGGCCCAATCCCCAGTGAGGGACATGCAGGAGGCAGCCAGCTGATGTTTTCTCTCATTGATGTTTCTATTTCTCTCTCTCTAAAATCAATAAAGAAAAAAATAATAAAATAGAGTGCATTTGCTTTGGAAAAACACATTATTGTTGTCTACTGCCATGAAAACTATAAAATAAAAGGAAAGCTAAGATTTAAATTTGGTTTTGCTTTTTATTAAATAACTAATATAAACCTGAATAGTTTATCCAGTTTTTTAAATTATACTAAGTAACAGCATTTCCCTAACTTTGCAAATTGAAGGTCTGATTTCTATTGTACATCTCATCTGTGAAGATCATTATTCTACTTAGTGATGATTCAGAAGTCACAGTGGAAAAGAATTCTTCAAGTACTACAATTATTAACTAGGATAAAAGCTATTCGTTAAAAATTACTAGTTTAGATGAAAAACTTTGTTACATTTTATTTCATCTTACAGTCTTTATTTTAACCCATTATTAAAGTCTATCCATATAGCCCTGGCCGGTTTGGCTCAGCGGTTAGAGCGTCGGCCTGCGGTCCTGAGAGACCCAGGTTCGGTTCCCGCTAAGGGCGCGTACCTCGGTTGCAGTTTGTCCCCGGCCCTGGTCGGTTGTGCGGGTGGCAGCCACTCGATGTGTTCCTTTCACATCGATGTTTCTCTCTCTCTCTCTCTGTTCCTCTCTCTCCCTCCCACTCTACCTGAACAAAAAGTGGAAAAATGTCCTCTGGTGAGGATTAAAAAAAAAAAAAATAAATAAAGTCTATCCATATAAATTATGGATTACTCTTACTAGTAAACTCAGTGCATAGATTTTTTAACTGAAGAAATGAATACAAAATGAACATACTTATTTTACATAATTTAAGGCCTAAACTTTGGAAATCTCAGACTAGCATAATGATGAAAAATGTGGGCTACAGGCTCTGAAAACCTGTGTTCAGATCTTGATTCTGCCACTTACAACTTGTGTGACCTATTTAATCACTTTGTGCCTTGTTTTCTTTATCTGTACAATTAATGCAGATGAAGGAAGATAATGCAAAACATGAGGCACAGAGGAAATACTCAATGCGTGCTATCTCACACTGTCATTTTAAAGTGGAACACAGCATGCTTTAGTGACTTTTCAAGTGTTGCATGATCCAGCCTGCATTAGTCACTGACAGAAAGGACGCTTGATGTGGCTCTATTAAACATGTCAAATGCCCACACAAAAGGGAGCTGAGTGAAGACCTGCGTATGTTATTGTGTGTACCAAAAGACTTTTGATTGGGAAAACATATGCTTGGGTGGTCCGAAAAAGAAAGGAGATCTTAGATTTTATTAACCTACAAAGTGCTTTAAAACTAGTGTCATTGCCCTGGCCGGTTTGGCTCAGCGGTTAGAGCATCGGCCTGCGGTCCGGAGAGACCCGGGTTCGGTTCCCGCTAAGGACACGTACCTCGGTTGCAGTTTGTCCCCGGCCCTGGTTGGTCGTGCGGGTGGCAGCCACTCGATGTGTCCCTTTCACATCGAAGTTTCCCTCTCTCTCTCTCTTCCGCTCCCTCCCTCCCACTCTATCTGTGCAAAAAATGGAAAAATGTCCTCGGGTGAGGATTAAAAAAAAAATAAAACTAGTGTCATGGTCTTGGGTTATTGGATCACAACAGACAATTTAGCACTCTTCTTTTATTTATTTATTTATTTATTTTTAATGAAGGTCTATATAACCAAGTTTTTAAAAATCAAAGGGTTTAGGTCATGTTTTAAATTTTAAAAAATAGTCTCCTACAGCCAGCTCAGATCTTGACTTTGTAACAGATATTCACCAAATATTCTTCTCTGATTAGAATATCAAAATTCTGTCTTATCCACAAAGAATTTTCAACATAAGTACAATAGAGAATATTTACTGGATTGTGTGCTAACAATTTGTTGTGCAAGTGTCAGAAAGATTAGCAATTAACAGAAAGTAATGGTCAAATTTACAAAAATAGATCATTCCCGAAGAATAAGCAGTATGTGTATGGCTTGGTGAACTTAAAGGAAATAAAGAATCGTTAGGCTATCAAGACGTGGCGCGTGGTCAGGCAGTTGATAAAAACTTTCTTTCAGATAAAAATCCTACAATATTAAAAAAAAAAAATCATTCTGAAGTCAAATGAGACATTTCATGTAATAGGAAATAACAATACTGGCAATTATGTGAATCATCTCCTCAGCATAGTTGAAGGATTATTGTTACTGTCAACACCAACAATGTTTTTAAAATTTTGTATTTATTGAATGATTTTAGACACAGAGGGAGAGAAAGAAACACTGATTTGTTGTTTCACTTATTTATGCATTCATTGGTTGATTCTTATATGTACTCTGACTGGGGATTGTACTCTGACTGGGGATTGATATACTGATATTATCAGGAAGATGCTCTAACCAACTGAGCTACCTGGCCAGAGCACCAATGTTTTTGTAGCAGTTAATTTACTGGTGTTGCACTAAACAATATCCCATATGTCCAGGAGCATTTGTAGAAGTAGTTCCTGAACTGTGGTCCCAAGGGGCAATTACCCATGCAGTAATTTGAGCACTCTGTTCTTAACACTGTGCTGGATGCCAGGGAGGATGGAGAAGGCAGTTAAACTCATTCTCATCTTCAAAGTACTTATAATTAGGTAGAAAAGGAAAGTTTATATATGGTCTAAACAGTACATGATACAAGATAATACAAACATTAAGTTAGTACATTAAGGGAGCAGTCATCTATTTACATAGATGAAGGCTGGGACATAAAATGATTTTGAGTGAACCTATTAAATGGTTTTGGTCTATGCAAAATTGGGAAGTAGGTACAAGTTACCTTGATTTTGCCCATTTCTCCCATGAGTTTTTTTTTTCCATTGCTGGTGGAATAGATGGTTCCCCAGTCCCATGTAGTTTGGAAAGCCACCTACTCCCTACTTTCTACTTACTCTGTCACAAGAAAATCTGTAACAGTGTGTTCCTGACAATCTCTCACAGTCTTGGTCTGGAATTTCAAATCCAAATGGCGTCTGGAAGAACAGTGTCTTGGACACTGGCAATAATACCTTCACCTATCCCTCAGCTCTCAATGAGTGAGTAAATAATGACCTGGGATCCCACCTGTACAAGTCAGCTCTCCATGGTTCATGACAAATAAATACGAAGTGCTGTAATTCTGAGACATTATTCTTGCCTCACCAAATGACATCATTATCCTACTTCCACAAAGCGGAACCAAGGAGTCATTATGCTCTGTCCTCCCAACTGACTCTGTCACCAAATCCTGTCAATATTTTCTCAAAAATGTCTTTTGGGAGTTCATCTACTTCCCTCTGTCTTCTTCATCGCCTACAGATAACAGCTGAACTCTCATGTTTAGCTGTGAGACTGTAAGCTCCATGAAAGCATGAATCCTTTCAGATTTCTTCCCATTATTATATCTTTATTGGGTGACACATAGTGATTATTCAGTATATATCTGTTCAATGAATAAGTGAGTTAGAAGTTGCACTAGACCTTAAATTTTTGTTAACATTTGGACAGAAATGAAAGGAAAAGGATAATTCTAGGAAAGAATAAACATACACCAAAGGATAAAATAATTAATATGACTTACTCATAGGCCAAAAATAAGATTGACTAGAAATGAGGATAGATTTTGAATAAATGGTAAATAACTTTCCACAGAAGGGATGGGGTCAGATTACAGAGGAAACAGAGAGTATGGAAAAGTGGAGATTTCTGAGCAGGATGGTGATAAATTGGAAGGAAAACTTAAGTATGTGTTAGTTGAAGCAAAAAAACAGCATTAATTCAGAGGTGATATAATGAAGACTCAAACTTAGAAGGTAGCAGTAGAGATTACAAGGGAAATTTCTAGAGAGAGAAAAAAATGTTTTAAAGGAAAAAGACATGGGCCATTATAAGTGAATGTGGGGTATAGATATCAATCGCTCCACTCATATATTTTAATGAATCTCTCTACACTTATTTTTATGTGGCGAGGAAATTTCATATACATTAATTATAGTTATTTTTAGTAATATCTATGTAGTATAGAAAATAAAATATAAAAAATTGCTCTAAAGCATGGTGTTTGAACCTCAGCACTTTGACATTGGGACTGGAGAGTTCTTTGTTGTGGGGAGTTGTCTTGTGCATTGTGGGATGTTTGGAAGCATTCCCGGCCTCTAGCCCTGGGATGCCAGTAGCACCTGCCTACCAGGTGTGGCAACCAAAAATGTTTCTAGATGCTGCTAATATACCATGGGGAAGGTGGGGGGAAAACTTCCCCCATTGGAGAACCACTGTTCTAAAAGTATTGAGTCCCATAAAGTGCATAATATCATCATTATAAACAGTTACTATTATATAACAAACTCATTTTAAATCCACTTCAGAAAATGACACATTTTTTTTAAAGGAAAATACATCTAATGTTAAATGTAAACATCATTTTTAAAAGGATGTTTAGAATGGAAGGAGTACACCTTTAAATGTACTTACGTTGAGTTCTAAAACTATTCCAAGGCAGTCAATCATCAACGACACAAGTGTGGCTATGGTAACGATAATCACAGTTATGATTACGTGGAAAACTGATGAAACATTCCCACCAAAAAATACATTGGCAATTACCTGACAAATAAACAGATTAGTTAGAAAGGGATTCTCAGACATGTGCAGGATTTATAAAGAGTATTTCCTGCCCTGGCCGGTTTGGCCTGTGGACCAAAGAGTCCCGGGTTCGGTTTCCACTAGGGGTACATACCAAAAAAAAGAGTATTTCCTATTATGATACTTAGGACTCTATAAAATACTACCAATCAAATTTCAAGCCATATGAATGTTCTACACTTTCCAAAGTACTTACATTTGGAAATACGCACATCAATAACAAGTATGTTTTGTTGAACTATTATTCAGGCAGTTCATAATATATCACTGTGTGAATAAATGTATTTCTCAAGTGTTAAGAGGGATTTTGAAAGTTGCCTATCATTCTTCCTTTAGTCCAACAAGGTTACCACTAAGACAAACCACAGATGCTATTTAGGTTATTTGAATGATCTCTAAGAAAGGAGTTACCACAATTTTCTTTAATAATAATAGATGTCTAATATCTTTTACCAACAGGAAATCAGTTTTATGTAATCTAAATCCCATTTGACACAAGTTAAACCTATTTTATCTAATAGACACCTCTCCAAACAGGACATACAAATGGATAAGAGACATTTGAAGAAATGCTCAACATCACTAATCATCAGAGAGATGCAAATTAAAACAACAATGAGGTAACACCTGACACCTGTCAGAATGGCCGCCATCAACAAATCATCAAACAACAAGTGTTGGAGAGGGTGTGGAGAAAAGGGGACTCTAGTGCACTGCTGGTGGGAATGCAGACTGGTGCAGCCACTATGGAAAACAATATGGTGTCACCTCAAAAAATTAAAAATTGAACTGCCATTTGACCCAGTGATCCCACTTCTAGGAATATACCCTAAGAAGCCTGAAACACCAATCAGAAAGAATATATGTACCCCCATGTTTGTAGCAGCACTGTTTACAATAACTAAGATCTGGAAACAGCCCAAGTGTCCATCAGTAGACGAATGGTACATATACACAATGGAGTACTATGCAGCTGTAAGAAAGAAAGATCTCTTATCCTTTGAGACTATATGGAGGGACCTGGAAAGTATCATCCTAAGTGAAACAAGCCAAACAGAGAAAGACAAGTTTTATATGACCTCAGTTATTTGTGGAATATAATGAACATAACAGTCTGAGGAATGGGGTAGTCCCAGAGATGTGGAAGTGGGGTACAGATTGACAATCACCAGAAGAGGGGGTGGTGGGGGAGAGATAAACCACAGAACTTATATGCATGTATGCATGAACAATGGACATGGACAACAAAGCTGGGGACAGGGCAGGGAGGAAGGGGGAGGGGGGAATCAGTGGGGGGAAAAAGGAGAAACATCTGTAACAAAAGTTAATTAATAAAAAAAAACCCTATTTTATCTTGCCTTTCTTCAACAAAATTGGAGAAAAGTTGATCACCATTTTCCACTGATATTCAGATTAGAAAATCAATAAATAGTTACCTATTTAACATGTCCTACACTGTGATATTGTTGGCAAAGAGAAAATGTCTAGATGATTCCTACTCTCAGAAATTAACATTCTAATTGAAGAGATCCAACCAATCTAATGAAACAAATAGTAACTGATTTATGACAGGATAAAAAAGATCAAGTAGAATTTAGACCTAGAAGAAGTTTATCTACCTAGACCTGTCTCCCTTAAAGTAATCTGCTTCACAGCATCCCTGAAGCGTGCTGGTCCTACCAAGTGAGCTGAGGCTTGAAACAAGAATAGGATTTAGAGCAGAATGATAAATTTAGGCAACAGTGTGACAAAGAGCAAAGAGGTAAGGACAGGAATGATACCCATGCAGAACAGGGATGACACCTATGAAGAAGAAGGTGGTGACTGTGCAAAAAATCCATGAGGCAAGAGTTGGAAATGGTAGGAGTGGCCAGAGGCTGGGGGCGACTTCACAAAGCCAACTCTCTAAGCCGTGATAAGTAACAACAGTCTAACTACGTAACATTCCCCGTGGACGGATACCACCATGGGGTATCCTGCTAATAATTTAATGGGGATACTCATGACTTTCACTCATGTATGGCTTTAGAATGTCTTTCCAAATATTATCTTATTTAAAATTTATTCTTATAGAGGCCTCTAAGATAGAATAGGAATAGTGGAAAATTGCTAGTGAGGCAGGCTTTTGGGCACCCTAGTATTCAGCTGGCTACTTGACCTATAAATAGAAATGGCTTTGATTATGCTTATGCGAACTTGTGTGTGGTGTGTGTGTGGTGTGTGTGTGTATGTGTATGTGTGTGTGGTGTGTGTATGCGTGTGTGTGCGGTGTGTGTGCGGTGTGTGTGCGGTGTGTGTGTGTGGTGTGTGTATGCGTGTGTGTGTGGTGTGTGTGTATGTGTGTGCATGTGTGTGTGGTGTGTGTGTGGTGTGTGTGTGTGGTGTGTGTGTGTGTGTGTGTGTGGTGTGTGTGTGTGTGTGTGTGTGTGGTGTGTGTGTGTGGTGTGTGTGTGGTGTGTGTGTGGTGTGTGTGTGGTGTGTGTGTGGTGTGTGTATGTGTGTGTGTGTGGTGTGTGTGTAGGTGTGTGCAGGTGTGTGCGGTGTGTGCGGTGTGTGTGCGGTGTGTGTGCGGTGTGTGTGTGCGGTGTGTGTGTGGTGTGTGTGTGTGGTGTGTGGTGTGTGTGTGTGGTGTGTGTGTGTGGTGTGTGTGTGGTGTGTGTGTGGTGTGTGTGTGGTGTGTGTGTGGTGTGTGTGGTGTGTGTGTGTGGTGTGTGTGTGGTGTGTGTGGTGTGTGTGTGGTGTGTGTGTGGTGTGTGTGTGTGGTGTGTGTGTGGTGTGTGTGTGGTGTGTGTGTGTGGTGTGGTGTGGTGTGTGTGGTGTGTGTGTGGTGTGTGTGTGGTGTGTGTGGTGTGGTGTGTGTGTGTGGTGTGTGGTGTGTGTGTGTGTGTGTGTGGTGTGTGTGTGTGTGTGTGTGTGTGTGTGTGTGTGGTGTGTGGTGTGTGTGTGTGGTGTGTGTGTGGTGTGTGTGTGGTGTGTGTGTGGTGTATGTGTGGTGTGTGTGTGTGGTGTGTGTGTGGTGTGTGTGTGTGGTGTATGTGTGGTGTGTGTGTGTGGTGTGTGTGTGTGTGGTGTGTGTGTGGTGTGTGTGTGTGGTGTGTGTGTGTGTGTGTGTGTGTGTGTGGTGTGTGTGTGGTGTGTGTGTATAGAAAAAGAAAAGGAGAAAGGAAGTGAACGGGTGAGGTTTATGCAAGGCTCCCCTGCCTAGCAACTGCTGTGGTGGCAGAGATCTTGATGTAGTTCTGTCTTCCTGTCATGGCAGCTAGAAAGGAAATACAAGTTCCAAGTACTGAAGACATAGCTGTGCAGGTGGAATGACTCAGAATGTCCACAGTTTACCAGAAACCACATAAGAATGCACCATCTGTTATTGCTCATCTAGAGATCAGATTTGAACCTAAGTACTGAGCAGAAGCTAAAATAGAACCATTTCCTGCATCCAACATTAGTTAGCAAAAACTTTAAAGGCACCTAGATTTAAAAAATCTACGTAAAGTTCGATCTAGATCTCCCTTATATTCAAGGTGGAGAAGTGACCAGTGAATTATGCATTTGCAAGTGAGGACAAGTGCTAATTGTAAAGGACATACATAGAGCCGAATATTTCCTTATTCCATATCCCTGTGCAGTTCCTTCTCCCCAGAATGGGCAGAGGTGAGCACTGATCGGCCTCTAGAAGCATGCCCATTACTTAGTCAGTGTATTTAAAGCTCTGTAGGAGTTTCACTTGACATATCAGAGCCAGTCACATGGTGTACTGTGTAAACAGTCTCTAGGAACAGATCCTAAATCTAATCCCTTTTCAGTGTGATTCCTGAAAGAACCACTGTGAAGTAGGATCTTGTTTTTTGTCTAAGTGGTATAGCAAATTTTTAGCTAACTTGCATAAGGGAGCCCGGACAAGCTATGTTCCCTAATTTTACACAAAAAGGATTAGTTTCCTTTCACCTGATCTTCCTATAGTCACCAAATCCAGGAAGACTATAGAACATGGAGTTGACTTAAAAGTAAAATATATATAAAACTCTCTATTTATATTATTTTATATAGTATATAAGGACAAATAAATATATGTACATAAACATATAAATTAAATATATCTGTAAAATTAATGGCTTAAATGGAATTTTGGTTTTCCATGGAAAATAAGATATTTTCATTTTTAAAATATAACAAAACTGATCAGAATCTGTTCTATGGTGCCTTTAATACATGTTGACTTATAAAATATCCTAGCAAAAAGATAATTTTGTAAAACTTATTTTAAACCTTAATAATTTCTTTATAAGAATTTAAAAATCAATAAACTTAGTTTGGCTGTATTAGAGGCTGGCATTCATTTGGAATGCAGTTGTATAAATATTTATACTTATCCTAATATAAACTAAACCAAATCTAACTTTAGAAAAAAATATCTTGTACACATTGAATATAAATGTATCTTTAAACTGGTTGGAAAGAAAATTTTATAAATTATGTTACTTGTCATGCACTTGAGAATTTACAGGTTCAGATTATTTACAAATCTTCCTAAATTAAATGTAGTAGAGGGATCCCCCAGATAAAGTGTTGGGAAGGAACTGTGCTTACCTCTCTGGTCACAAAGCATTCAATGGGGTACGTCAAAATGACAGTGACTCCATAACAAAACCTTCCAAATGTTATCAAGTTATCATCTCTGCAATAGTTCTCAAATAAGTCTCCTAGGGAATGAAATAAAATAGATTTATTTAATAGATACTATATATTGATACAAATATCTGATAAACAAGATAGTCAATATCTATTGCATCAATGAAACTGCATAAGCTTCATTTTATTTAGTAGAATAGATTGCTAAATCTGAATATGTTTTTAAATTCAATAATTACATAATCATTGACTGATACTAAAACTAGTACATGCTCCACTTGAAGATGAATGCATCACTAATTGTTTTCCTCTTATTCTCATTGTTTGCTTTGGTAGGTATGCTTAAATTTATTTCAACTTCTGAAAAGTACTTTTATCCATTGTCTTCTTATACCAGAATCAACTCCCTAAACTCTTGTGCATTGATTTTATAAACTTGCTTCTGGTCTTTGTTTCTGGTAAGTAAGTGACTTCATCATTTAAAAAAAAAAAAAAAGGTCTGTTAAAATAAACAAATTTCCTTTTGAAATGCTATTCATAGATCAAAGACAATCCTGAAAGGAAGAGTGGACCATTGAGTCTGGGGGGCTGAACTTCCTGTGTATCACACTGCAGGGTTTAATCACAAACTCAGGGCCACGGCAAGGGATGCAAACATACATTATCTTTCAGGCTATCGGATGGACCCGAGTGCAAATGCACTGATTCAAAACTGTGAAAATATAGAAGAGCATTATATTTCATCAGCTCCAAACTAAACGATGACCCATCTACACCATGAACCAATTCTTATTTAGAGATGGTATTTTCTCAGAAGAAATACAGGATCTATCTAACGAAGGCATAGAAGTCATGTCAGCAAAAAAAAAGTTTTCCAATGCTGAAACAAAAAAATATTTCAGTCTGCTTATTTCCTAAATATAACATGCTTAGGTTTAAAAATTTTGGTCACAGTTTTCACTAGACGGAATAGAAGATCAGATCACAGTCACGTGCTAGTACCTTATTTAAAAAGAAAACAATACTTCTGTACTTTCTTTCATTAAAAAGCTAAGTGACCTGCCTCTTCCTAAGTTATTTTAACGGACTCTTCTCTCCTACCACCATCGTCTAGGACAAATGTACAGGACTTTCTAGTATTCCTTTGGGGCCAAAGGGGATTAAACCACAGAGCAATAGTGGCAGAGACTTGTTTTAAGGTTGATTGAAAAGGTTCCAGCACTCTAAGAAAAAAGGACAGAAATTCTCCTTCACTAACCTCCACTAAAAAACGAGCCTGATATTGATTCAAAAGTCACTGGGAATGTCAAGAACACTCTGGGATTCTTACTGCCTCCTTGCAAGCTGAAATTAACCTCCAGCAAAGAAAATGAAAAGCAGCACCCGGTTTGCACCAACAAGACCAGATTTGCCTAAGGTGAAATAGCCTGAAGAAACGATGTCAGTTTATTCTAGTTTGAGTCTAGGGAGTGTGTTTTAGGGAATTATAGCTAGGAAAAAAACAAAACAAAACAAACCCCGAACCAACCTGTCAGCTTTGTTATATAAAGATTTAATTATATCTGAGCAATTACCACTGAAAAAACACTGGGAAGGTATGACTAAAAAAAGGTTTGATGCTTTACAGAGAGGGCATTTAAAAACCAAAGTTTGGCACAGACTGGAGCCTACAGGCATTCATCTTGGCAAAAATAGTGGTATGTGGCAATATTTTGAAGCACAATTGATACCCAGATTTTCGAGGTACTTCACTGCTGCACTCTAATGGCACACACACGGATTATGTTTACTGCATTGGAATTATGTCAATCACTTTCTTTTGAAGCCATCTTTATTTCTCAAGAAATATCTGCCTATGTAATCAATCGTAGTCACCTGGAACCTTTTTTTTTTTGAAACAATGCACCACCCACCTAGTTTTTGCATCATCAGAAAACGAACAAAAGGAGCAGGAGTCCAAGAGACAGGTGTCAAGGTGTCATGCTTGACCAAAGTGGAGTAGGCAGCAAGGAAAAATGAAAATAAAATTGGACTGAAGGTCAGGAGACTTGTTTTCTTCTTTGTCACCAGCAAGCTTGGGAAAATTACTTCTCTTTGTGTTTTAAGTGGGCATGGCGGGGAGCTAGTTATTCCACTTACCTTCGTAGAGTTCCTTAAAGGCCAAACGAGATAATAGATCTGCGAAAACTGTGAGGTGCATGAATCATAGCATTTAGCAGTGAATGTGAGGGTAAAGGGAAAAGAAGAGATGAGCACTCAGTTGTTGGGCCTGCATGAACAGAGGGAAAGAAGAAAGTTTGGTGTGGGGCAGTGGGGTGAAGTTGGGGGGAGGAAAGAGGCTGGTTTTGTGAAAATAATGATGTTTTGTGTTAAAGGCAAGAGTAGGACAATTAAGTAGACATGTCCTGTAGGCAAAAGGCTGGAGATGAAAACAAAACATCTGGACTAGTTAAAATAATAAAAATCTTCAGAGAATCTGTTAAGAGGGGAAAAAGGCAACTTGCCTGAGCCAGTTATGGGGGTGGGGGGGTATAGTGGAGAGAGGAGGTAGGAGAAAGCAAAGATGAATTACTAGGAGAGAAAAACATTATGAACAGAGTGAATAATGGCATGGTAGTACTTTTTTCTCTACAAAAGGAAAGAAAATGTTCAGTACTCTTAAGTGATTAGAAAGGTCCATGAAAATCAAAACCGAGAAGATTATTAGCTTTGAAGAGTGGGAGAACATTGTTTTATTTTTATATGTTTTACTGATTTTTTTTTTTTTTTGAAAGAGAGGAAGGGAAAGGGGGAGAGAGAAACATCAATGAGAGCGAAACATTAATCAGCTGCCTACTGCACGCCCCCTACTGTGGGTCAAGCCCGAAACCCAGGCAGGTACCCTGACCAGTAATTGAACAGGTGACCTCTTGGTCCATGGGACGATGCTCAACCAACTGAACCACACTGGACAGGCAGAGATGTTGCTGGTTTTTAAAATAAAGTTGCAGTGGGGTAGTAGAGAAGAAAGCCAGAATGCCTGTGCTCTGAAGGGAAAGCATGAAAGGAGAGAGAATGGGTGACAGAAGTGTAGTAGTTTAAAAAGCAGAAAATTAGAAAACACTAACAGAGAGGCAAGAAGGTAGAGGGGAAACTAAGTAGAAGAGATAGTGATAGTCTGAAATAAAACACGGGGTATAGTGACCCAAAATAAGAAAAAATAGCACCACTCCATGTGAATACCAAATTATGGTAAGACCAAACCTCTCATTTTACCTTGGGTGAAGCCAGTAAATGTCAAGTATCCACATAGAGCAAAGATAATACTGATAAATACAGAAATCAAGATGGACACATGGATGATGCGGGACCACTTAGCTAGGGTGGGTTCCTCCAAAGAACCATAAACTAAGAAGCAGTTATGGTGGCAAATAAATGCTGAAAAAACAAAACAAAACAACAAAAAAGTATTATTGAACCAGGCACCAGTGTTCTCTTTTTACTTCTGAAAATTCAGAGATGTATGCTACTTTGAAATGCTAGTCCAAATATACTAATGAGATATGTCAAAAAAAAAAAATCTTCCTAACAGCTTTGGGAATCAGAAATTTCATTCACATTAGGTTTGTGTAGTCTCTTCATGTCAATCTTGATACAAACCAGGCCTATTCAATTCCCCCGCACCCCCCCCCCTTCCATTTCCTAGTGGCCTTTCCAATCATAAGGGGCATATAAACAAGACTGTATTTTCAGTCCATGGCCTCTTTTCCAATCTGTGATGTAACAGAGTAGCCTTAGACATCCGGCCAATCCCTAATACCACCTTGTGTGCAAGGTTTTAAAGAGGTCCATAACATTTACTTGATTTTCAAGTGAAGAAATTAGATGACTCTAATGAATGTTCTGCATGAGACTTGTCCATGGAAGCAAAATTTAGTGATGAGTGAGAAAAGTTTGAGCCTAATTTTATGTTGGCACAAACTTGATCAGATGCTGCTAATAGGATGTCTAAAACTTAGGACATCTGTTCTCCAGACACAAATATGAGGCAGCCTTGTTTCACTGTCCACTCTGAGAAAGGGCCTTTGGAACCACATACTTACCAAATGACATGACACCAATGGCCTGAATGGCATTGGGTTTTGCAAACACCCAGGCATCTTCTGTTTTTGGTCTAAAAGAGAGTTAATGTAATGAATAATTAAACAAATTCAAGCATAACCCTATCTGAGAACAAGGAACACTGTCACAATATAAATTGAGTACCTTTAGGTCAGAAATAATAAGGGGCCTGCATTGATCTTATTTAATTGTAAATACATTTCTCAGGAATCTCAATGCTTTCTGTTAAGCCTAGTCCTCTAACAATTCATGTCAAATACTTGGAGAGACTATATTTTTAGATATTTAAAATGTCCACTGGCTACTTAATTTTGTGACTTTATTTAGTCATTCACTTAACAACAAACATTCGTTATGTGCTCATCATATGAGATACTCATTGAGGAAGATACAAAAATTAATAGTGCAGTGCTCTTTCTCAATTAATCAATACTGCCCTCTATCCCCCTCCAACTAATTCTGTCCATTCCCGTATTGCTTTTATACTAAACTCTCAGTCACCGTCAATTACGATCTGTGAACATACTTCTCAAAAAGGTTTTGGAAACATAGCTCAAAGGAGCCTATTTCTTAGTGGAATTAAATTATTTGCTGGCCTATCTTTTGGCAGGGATTGGTTTCCCTGATTAACACATGCCCGAGTAATGGTGAAGAGTACAAACTACAGGTAGGACATACAGCCAGTTTTGGTCTTCTGGACCCTTCCAATTATTAGCTGTGTGATCTTAGGCAAGTTATTTAACCTTTCTGTGTTTCAGTTTTGATATCTATAAAGTGGGGATAATAATAGTACCTTATTCATTGGGTTATTGGGTGAATTAACTGATGTAAAACTCCTGACAGAGGGCCCTGCATATATGAAGTGTTCAATCAATGATTACGTATATGATCAGATGATGGGTTGGTATTATCATTATTCACTGTCACTTAATAAGAGGTAACAAAGTCTAAAAGTATGGCCCGCTTCCTTGAAAAGAAAAGGCTTTAGCAAGACTCAAAGAATGCATGAAATCAGAAGAGGGAGACAGGGAAGAAGAGTCCTAGAAAGCATAAACTCCCCTATTTTATGTTTGTTAGTAATTTCAGAGGTAAAGTAAAACACATACAAAACAGTCCCATTTGTTTTGTGAAAGTTAGTGGGATTTGTGCTGTGTATCATTTCTTTCCACTTTTGCAATGAGCAGATACAGACACAAAGGAACCAGCGAGCCTCCAAGGGAGGCCTCAGCTGGTACAGGACTTGCTCCACTTCCCTTAGTACTTTAGAGTGGGAGCTGCTGCCCCCTGCTGCCTGCACGCCGACTGCAGGGAGCATTAACCGCTGGCAGCACACCTGTCCAAGTCCAACTTGAGTGTGGAAAACGACATATTTTGTCCATGGTCCTTAAAAAAAAATTTTTAAGGCAGTACTAACAGTTGCAGAAACTTGAAGTCTTTAACTTAATATATTTTAAATGATATACTTTTCCTGTTCAAGCATTTGCATGCGAATAAAACTCCTTTTTCTGTTCAGTACAGATTGTAGTGGTGTCTTATTTTTAACTCTTATGTTAGTAATGATAAAACAGTTTGATTTTCATTTTTCTTCTTCATTTGAGTTCTTCAATTTTTTCTTAGTCTATACGGTTCCTTCAGTATATTTCTAGCAACGATGGAGTATGAAACAGTAACTAAAGATAATTTTGGGTTTTCTGTGTTCAGCTCAGTAATGCTAATTTTATAAGATGTAAAGTATCAAAAAAGGATGTTATAGATTGGAAATAAATGTGTGCTCAAATCCGGGTAAAGAGAAAAAAAGATACTGGATATGGCTTTCCAATCCTTTATGATATAGCCTGTGACTGAGTTCTAGAAACAACCATTTCAAGAGGGGAAAAGATGAAAAAGTTTCATGATGTATTTTTTTTTTTTTTTATCCTCACCCGAGGACATTTTTCCATTTTTTTTTGTTCAGATAGAGCGGGAGGAAGAGAGAGGAAGAGAGAGAGAGAGGGAAACATCGATGTGAAAGGGACACATCGAGTAGCTGCCACCCGCACAACCAACCAGGGCCGGGGACAAACTGCAACCGAGGTACGCGCCCTTAGCGGGAACCGAATCCGGGTCTCTCTGTACCGCAGGCCGATGCTCTAACCGCTGAGCCAAACCGGCCAGGGCAAAATATCACCAACTTTTTTTTTTTTTAATCCTCATCCGAGGACATTTTTCCATTTTTTGTACAGATAGAGTGGGAGGGAGAGAGAGGAAGAGAGAGAGAAACATCGACATGAAAGGTACACATTGAGTGGCTGCCACCCACATGACCCAACCAGGGCCGGGGACAAACTGCAACCGAGGTACGTGCCCTTAGCGGGAACCGAACCCCAGTCTCTCTGGACCACAGGCCGATGCTCTAACCGCTGAGCCAAACCGCCAGGGCTCATGGTGTATTTTATGAAGTTGCTAAAACCTTGATACCCAATGTGGATGAGAAAATGAACATAGAGGTTGTTGTGACTTTAGGCTTAGATGCTGAAATAGAAAATCAAAGATCAAATGCAATCAAGAAAATATATAAGAACAAAAATTATGACTAAGAAGAGTTTTTCTAATAAATGCAAGCGTAGTTCAGTAACAGAAGACTCTACTAATGTAATTCGTCACATTAACAGATTAATGAAGTAAAAAGCTAACACTCACTGAAAAATATTTTGAATAGACTACAATCCAGTATTTACTTTGATAAGCAAAATATTAATAAAATAAAACCTCCTTAACTTGATAGAAATATGACATATTTAGAAGTGAAAAGTTAGGAATATTACAATAAAGGTGGAAACCAGATAGGGATGTTCACTCTCACTGCTTCCATGGTACATGACTGGAATTCCTAGTTAATGCAATAAAATGAGTGATAAACCATGTAGTAATTGGAAAGGAATAAGTTAATTATACATAATATAATTATGCACACAGAAAATTCAAAGATTCTACTGACAGCCTATTGGAGTATCCAGCAAGTTTCCTGCTACAAGCTCAATACACAAAAATCAATAGGGTTGATGCACACAAATAACAACCAATAAAAATGTTTGTTTTTAATGGCAGTGACAACAAAAATACTAAATATTTTTAAAGACACGCATAATCTTAATGGTATGATATAATTTTATTGAAAGATACAAATAAATGGAGAAATATATCATATCCATACACATGAATGGAAAGACTCATTACCATGTAGATGTCAATTCTCCCCAAATTAATATTTAAATTTAGAGAATAAAATATGATAATGAGAGTGGAAAGAACCTTTTAAAAATACAAAAGCAAAACCATTAAGGTAAAGATTGATTATGACTTAATAAAATTGATGAAAAGTAAATACAAAATGTCTGCATAATAAAATAATCAATATACAAAGTTAAAAATAAATACAAACTAAAAATGGGGCGATAAGGAGATATAGATAAGGATGTTTACTGCTGCACTGTTTATATTAGCCAAACTTTGAAAACAACCTCAATGTATAGCAAAAGAATTGATAAACAAGTTCATAAAAAATGTGACATAATCATAAGTTTGTGTGCTATAGAGAAATTAAAGCATCACCACCCAGTGCTAATGGTATCAAAATGGAAATATATGATAGAGAACCCAAAAATTAACCCAAGTCATTACGCTCAATTAATATTTGACAAAGGTGGCAAGACCATACAGTGGAGTCAAGACAGCCTCTTCAATAAATGATGTTGAGAAAATTGGATAAGTACATGCAAAAAAATGAAGCTAGACCATCAACTTAAACCAAACACAAGAATAAACTCAAAATGTATAAAAGACTTAAATGTGACTCATGAATCCATAAAAAATCCTAGAAGAAAATGTAGGCAACAAAATTTCAGACATCACACGCAGCAGAATTTTCACTGATGCAACCTAAGACAAGAGAAACAAAGGAAAAACATGAACACATAGGACTACATCAAACTGAAAAGCTAAGAAACAACAATCAAAATGGAAAGGGAAACTACTGTATGGGAGAGCATAATTGCTAATGATACATCAGATAAAGGGTTAATTTCCAAAATATATAAAGTATTCATACAACTCAACAAAAGGAAGACAAAGAACCCAATTAAAAAATTGGCAGAGGACCTAAAGAGACACTTCACCAAAAAGGACATACAAGAGACATGAAAAAATGCTCAATGTCATTAATCATCAGAGAGATGCAAATTAAAACAACTATGAGGTATCACCTTATACCTGCCAGAATGGCCGTCATCAACAAATCATCAAACAAGTACTGGGGAGGGTGTGGAGAAAAGGGGACTCTAGTACACTGCTGGTGGGAATGCAGACTGGTGCAGCCACTGTGGAAAACAATATGGTGTTACCTCAAAAAGTTAAAAATTGAACTTCCATTTGACCCAGTGATCCCACTTCTAGGAATATACCCTAAGAAGCCTGAAACACCAATCAGAAAGAATATATGTACCCCCATGTTCATAGCAGCACTATTTACAATCACTAAGATCTGGAAACAGCCCCAGTGTCTATCAGTAGATGAGTGGATAAAAAAACTGGTACATATACACAATGGAATTCTATGCAGGTGTAAGAAAGAAAGATCTCTTATCCTTTGAAACGACATGGAGGGACCTGGAAAGTATTATCCTAAGCGAAACAAGCCAATCAGAGAAAGACAAATATCACATGATCTCACTTATTTGTGGAATATAATGAACAAAACAAACTGATGAACAAAATATACCCAGAGACACAGAAAAATAGGGTACAGAATGACAAACGTCAGAAGAGGGGGTCGGGGTGGGGGAGGGAAGAGATAAACCACAAAACTGATACGCACGTATGGGTAACCATGGACATAGACAACAATGCTGGGGACGGGGTGGGTGGCGGGATCAGGAGGAGGGTGTCAATGGGGGAAAAAGGAGAAACATCTGTAACAAAAATAAATTAATAAAAAAGCAATAAATAAATAAATATGACAAAATCAATTAAGTTGAACCATTAAAAATGGAAATATATGGAATGCAATACTGAAGG